ATTGGATCCAAAACTAGCTAATATTTAGCGCACACTGCAAAATTGAAAAAGCTTTAAAAACTTTGATTGGGAAACAAAGTGAAAAATTTATAAACTTCGACGGAGTCAAAGTTGATAAAAAATTAATTTTTTCAAGCTTCCTCTATGTTTTCCAAAATTAGGAGCTCAATCAACAATAAATTTGAAAATTTTCGAGGAAAAGAATTGTGCACTATAATGTGAAATGGTTCTGTTCCAAATTTCTGTTCACTGTTCCAAATTAGACAGGTTGTTGTTCTGCCTTAACCACAGATATATTAAGTTACAGAAGTAACTAATTGTCGAGGAAGACATTCAAAAAATAATAGATTTTTAGTATACTGTAGTCAGCATTATGATGTCGACGGCGATGATGACGAAGATGTCTATTTGCAAATTCTGTTAAATGAAAACTATTTGAATAGACAATTAAAATTGTTAAATTTTTGGGAGAAGATTTACACCAAAACTCACAGATGTTTTAAAGTTAAAAAATTTTGAAGAGAAAAAACATTGAAACAGAAGGAAGAAGCCAGAAAAACGAAAACAATTATGTAACAATACTGTTATTGAATTTTATTTATTTTCAATAATAAATTTTTTTTAAAAAAAAAACTTTTTTTCTAAATTTTTTAATTGAATGCTTAAAAAACAAATAAGTTTAAAAAAAGCACATTTCGACATCACTTTTTCTTTATTTGGTGACTTTTTTTTGAATGCTTTTTTCTCGCAAACTTTTTGGTTGAAAGGTCATCAGACAGTACTTTGATTGTTGCTTTTTTTCTGCAGCAAATACTTCTAAGGTTAAGATAAGTATAAAAATGAAGTGCAGAAAATGATAATACATTGGCGGTTAAGTTTTCAGAATGTTAGTTTTTCTATTTTTCACTGCAACTGCCGGTACGTCTCGGAGATCACTTTGACTTTTTGAATGGTTTGAACAGTAGCGATTATTGTTGTTGTTTTTACTAGAATTCCAAATATCTAACAACTTCAGAATTGGCAATAAGGCTACAACAAAACTGTTGTGAAACAAATGATATTTCAGAAGAATTGAAATCTATAAATAATCTTAAAGGTCAAAAATAATTTGTAATTAATTGTTGAAATGAAAATTTTTTTAACTTTTAGCGCAAGCGGTTTTTGACACTGTTCCTGATGAGCCGATTGGAGCCCTTAGTAAGTTTTTAGTTAACCATATTTGCTTATTTGTTGTTACAAATGTGAAAAGAGCAGAGCAAAAAGTTATCCAAAGAAAGAAACCGAACTTTTTTTGCATCAATTTTCAAAGGTGATTTTAACAGTTATCTGTAGTTTCAATCGCTTGAAAAAGAACTAAAATGTTTTTCTAATGGTGTTTTAGGCCAAGTCTTGAGAAATATTTTTTAGCCGAACATTAGTTTCAACCATATCAAATATTTCTTCCTTTTTTTATCGTTGTTTAACCAAAACTGCAGTATTTATAAAACCTAGAATGTGCCCGGTGTGGTTTTAAGTTGCAACCCTTAGGTATTCCAAAGATGCCACACCGCATATTTGAAAAACTTTGTCTACTTTATCACACGGTAATAAAACTTTGAAAATCACTCAACTCTTTCTTGATTATTTTTAGCTACAGAGTCTAAGAGAGGTTAAGCGTTGTAGCTGTTTTAGTGTCTGCACTACCCCGAACTCCTGAAGTACTTGTGGCACCTTCAAGAGTAAGTGTCGCTAGTCCAGATGTTCACATCGGAAGTCAAGAAATTCTTTACAAAAGGCCAAAAGTAGTGGTTGGAAGTCAACAAGTTCTAGTTGAAAAGCCTCAAGTTTTCTATGGCTCACAAAAAATTATGTATGATAGACCAAATGTAGTAGTCGGACCACAGAACGTTTTATACCAGCCACCGAAGGTTGTTGTTGGTGGAAAATCAGTGGTCTACGAACGACCCGCAGTTTTCTATAATCGCCAGAAGGTCTTCTACAACCCACCCAACGTTGTTGTGGGACCTCAGAATGTTCGAGTTGCACGACCACCAGTACTCGTCAAACCTGCACCTGTAGTTATTCGTCGTAGACCAGTAGTTTATGAAAAAATTGTCCCAGTCGTTAAGGAAAGAATTCTCCCAGTTGTTAGACCCGTACCCGTTGTTAGGCATGTAGCCATGGTTCAAACTGCACCTGTTGTGACGAGAGCTGTCGCAGAGAGAACTGTCGTCGTTGAACGTCGTAAGTAACTTTTTTTGAATAATTATGAAAAATTTAATATTGATTGTTGATAGTCATTTCAAAAATCATCAATGTTTTCCCTTAAATTTTCAAGAAAAGAGATACATAAACTACGAAAAAAATTTTTTTTAGTCATTCTGATAAACATAGTGCTTTGTTTCTTTCTAAACCCTAAACTTACAACATTTTTAGCCACACCGGTGTTCCATAAATGTGGAAAAAACTTATAAGTGTATAATTTTTCAAAAAAATTACATTTTCTATGCTGTTATCGAGTTGTTTCAGCTGTTCGTGCTTACAGAAGTATACACAGTTTTTAAAAATACCGGATTTGCAAGCAGAACGGTAATTTTTTAGGTGATTTTATTCGGCACACCTATAGATTCCTGTGTTTATTTTATTTTTGAAAATACTGAAAAAAGTTTACATTACTAAGCAGTCTTGTTCTAGGAAGATTTTTACTATTGATAAGCTTTATCGCTTGATTGAATGTTCAGTGAATATCAAGTTATTAACAGTAACTAGTCTATAAATATTGAAATTTATCTTACTGAAATTTAAATATTTATGTTTGATTAAAATAAAGGGAAACCAATTTTAAGATTTCAACACCTAAACTGTTTTCGTCTGGGAAGAGATGCGAAGTTTGCATGTCCGAGTGATTCATCTGTATCAGTTTAACTATTTCTACTTCCCTTTTTCATCGGAATTAATACCCGTTGTTGTTAAGCTGTGGTGTAAAAAATAAAAGATTTGATATTGACCTTTGGACATTTGTGTAGTTCATTGTTTCAACAAAAATAAGACTGTTGATAAGCAGTCAGTTGCTTGGAGGACAGCAACATAAATTATAATATTTTGATGTCGATTAAGGAGAAAAAAAAGAACAAAAATTAGATATACTTTTTTTCAAATCACTGAAAATGCGCAACATTGGCGAAAAGTTCAGTAATCTCAATTGGTTTTCTACCAGCAGCCACCAAGAAGTTATTGTCGAAAGAAAGCAAATCCTAACATTCATTTTGTTGCTCTTCTGTGGCTGCTTTATTAACAGTTTTTTGTAACTTGAGGTTTGCTATCAGATACAGGTGTTCAACATAAACTGCAGTATTCAACCAAAAACTTCTGCTTTTTTTTCTTTCAAGTAATAGTCTGTTTTTGACAAAACTGTTAATGTCATCTTCAATATTCAATTCTAAAACTCTTTATTTATATTTAAAAAAATTGCGGTTGACCGCTCAATTTCTGATTCCATGAAAACAATTTGACGTTTACAGTTTGCAGAAGATTGGTTTTCTGATCCAAATATATTTGCTATTAACAGGATTAATGTCACTGTTGAATGATTACTGCCAACTGTAATAGTAATCGTCTTCAAAATCGTAAATTTTTTTTTCTAGACTTAGTAAAACTCTTAAAACTGTTATTGAGTATCCTATTTTTGAAGAAAACTTGTAGAAAACAGAGTAATTCGTAAATTAAAGAGGTAATTAATATATGTGTGATAATTAAAAACTTGCAAATAAATTTTTTTTTTTTTTACTTATAAGATATTGTTTATAATTCTATCGCTTCAACTATCAAACTAATCATACGGGGTTTTTTTCTAGAATCCAAAAAAAAAAAAAAAACAGTATGATGTGAATATAATTTATAGCAAATTTTAATAAAGTAGAAATGTGTTTATCCAAAAATGACAGTAAAAGTTGGTACAGTTTTAGAATTCTTTTTGTTTTTTCTTCATTTTTTTTTGCTCAAATTGTTGAATGATGTAAATTTTCTTTTCTTTTTTTTTTTTTTTTTTTTTTTTTTTTT